CGGGGTAAGGGTGGGATAAAAAAATTAAAAAATTGAAGTTGAAAAATATATTTTATAAAAGCTTTAATTTTTTTTCAACAAAAAAATTGTATTGAAGTTGGAGGAAAGTTTTGGAAAATGTTTTCCTTACTTTTTGAAGGGAAGTCATTTTCCTTGAATTTGAGGAAAATGAGTTGATTTGAAAAAAAATTCCAAAACAATTAACCCAACCAAACATGAGAAAATTGGAAATTTCCTTCATACCAAACACACCTTTAAAGTTGATTCTTTGGAGTTACAAAAAATTCCTCAATAATTAGTAGAGCTTCTGAAATTTTGTAGAATACTATCTTTGATATTTGTTATACTTAAAAAGAAATGTGTAGATATTGTAGAGCCTTGCCAGATCATTATAAAAATTATTTCCTATATTCAAATTCAAACACCATATATTCACCAAGTCTAAATTTAAGTGAACAGAGTATTATGAACTCCTTCAAACAGAATGTAAAAGATCAAACATCAAAGCTATACTATAGCCTTATTTTTCTTGACCTCCTTTGGTTTTTATTCTTTCTCCTCCTTTTGGGCTGACCCAAAATTCTTAAAAGAAGTCCATCAACGAGCTCATTGTATCTTTGGCTATGCAAAAGAAGCCAGGTTACGATACCAAAAGCCATAGAAGATCCCAAGGAAAAACTTATATATTTCCCATCAATTTCATGTTCAGAATGGTTGTTAGGTTGTGACGATCCATTCACTTTGGTTTCACTGCACGTTGTATTTAAAGGAAAGTTGCACAACCCAATGTTCCCTTCAAAGGAATCTGCTGAGAATGTCTGAAATTGGTTGCCACTTGGAATCCTACCAGAAAGTTGATTAAAAGATAGGTTCAAGAAAGCAAGAAATGTGAGACTCACGAGCTCGTCTGGAATTCTCCCGCTTAAATGGTTAACTGAGAAATCTAAGGATTCAAGCTGAGTCAACTTTCCAAGAGCCTTTGGTATTCTTCCAGTCAAAGCATTGTGTGAGAAGTTAACATGGATAAGTGATTTGAGATCTCCCAATGTCTCAGGTATCTCCCCTTGAAAGTTATTGCAAGAGAAATCAATGGATGTTAAAACTACAAGAATTTTCACATATTCCAATGTTAGACCTTTAATAGTTAAAGTCACCTTGTCTTGATACAGACTATCAACATGCAAATAATGCTCCCCCGGGTCTATATTTCTGCTTTGCATCATGCCTTTCAAGTTTGAGAAGTATTGTGGTAGCATAGCACCGCTGAAATTATTGTAAGCAAGATCAATAATTTGAATACTTGACCAGGTTTGATTCGCAATAGGACACTGGAGATTCCCATGGAACTTGTTCGACCTCAAGACTAGTACATGCAAATTGGAAAAATAATTTAACATGCATGGGAATGTATCTTCAATCTTGTTGTTTCCAATGTTCAAAACCTCCAAAGGTTCACATCTTAGCAGGGATCTTGGAACTTTTCCTTCTAAGATATTGCTGCTGAGGTCTAAAGTTCTCAAACTACAATTTAGTGGAAATGTGTCTGGAATAGTGCCACTTAGTTTGTTTCTCCCAAGATTCAGTACTACAAAACGGTCAGCCTTTTGGAATAGACATGAAGGTATTTTGTTGTTAAAGGTGTTGTTTGACATATCAAGAAATTTAAGATGATCTAGATTGTATATGAAAGAGGGTATTGATCCCGTAAATTCATTATTGGCAAGTGATATGAAAGTAACACTACCTCCCCGACTTGTACGGTAATATGTATCATCCCTGTCAGGTGGTAGAAAGGGTGGATTGCCCTTGATCCTGTTGCTACTCAAATCAATGGAAAGAGGACTGGTAAACATATAGTAAGGTTTTTCTAGAGACTCCAGGAGATTGTGAGAAAGATTCAGATTTGTAACTTTCCAAACCCAATTTGGTATTCCCCCTCTAATTTTGTTGTTCGAAAGGTCTAATTCTAATAAGAATGATAGGTTTTTGAGATCAGGAAACTTTTGCAACTGGCATGAAGCCAACCTCAGGGAGTGCATCCCAGCCGGAGAGGGAAATGAGGTTGAATTACTTACAACTCTCAAGTTGTTGTAAGAAAGGTCGAGGATGTTTAGCCTAGGAAGTCGGCTAATCGCTTCAAGATTAATGGTCCCATTGAACGAGTTGGAAGAAAGTACTAGTTCTGAAAGACTTTTGAGTTGAAAGATAGACCGCGGAATGGATCCATTCAGATGATTATTACTCAAATCAAGTGTATCAAGAACAGAAGAGGATGCATTTGAAAATTCATGGATTACTCCACTTAAACGACTGTTCTGAACACTAAGAAACTGCAAGGACGGGAGGGAAAGGAGAACTGCTAATTGAGTTTGAGTGGAAGAAAATGGACCATTGTTATTAGAAAGGTCAATGTAATTGAGCTTCTTTGCCTTGTGAAAGAATGGGATCGAGCCAGTAAAACTGTTGAATGACAAGTCTAGATGAACCAGGTCTGTGAGATTTCCCATTTTTGATGGAATATCTCCACTGAAATTGCAACCTGCTAAATCAAGCCGGGTCAAATTCTGAAGGTTAGCAATTGAATCTGAAAGGGAACCGGTGAATCCCGTGTAACTAAGCACTACTTCCCTTAATGCACTCTTTTGTGAAAATTCAGGTAAAGTGCCAGTAAGGTTTACATTAAATGATAAATAAAGCTCCTGAAGAGTTTGTACCTGAATGATTTTACTAGGAAATGAACCACGCAACTTGCAGTTCCGGAGACTCAAGGTAGTCAATTTTGTAAAATTTGCTATAAATTCTGGAACTCCACTAGTGATTACTTCGTCGTCCAGATCCAGAACAAGCACATGACCTTCTTGATCACAACTTACACCTGGCCACAGGCAACAGTCTGTGTTTAGATCCCATCTACCCAGTTTGGTTGATTTAGAAGAATCGAAAGTGAGGCTTTTCTTGAGTTTAAGCAACAATGCCTTTTCATCGCCCAAACATTGGCCATACACTGGAGAAATATTAGAACTAATCAGAAACACCACTAGCACAGTAATGTAAGAAAGTTGTAGCAGGAGTGATATTTTCATAGTGAGGCAATATTATGAAGTGAAGTATTGAAATGATGATGAATTCTATATATATATACAAAATAATCTTGGCCGGCACTCGCAAAGACAAGAATTTTTTTGGAAAAGTCAAGACAGCTTCATTGTTTTGTCTAATGAGGTCTTACATCAGATGTTTTAAAATCTAAACAAAGTTGATGTTTCTGTCTTTTCTTTTACACATGAAACGACTAGACTAATTCCAATTTGGTATAATTTCGCTTTGTAGTTTTATGTTGACTTGGGTTGTGCATATGCAAGTAAACCTAATATCATTAACATAAGGTATAAATTTACACAACTTAAGCTTGTAATTGACAATGACACATTCAACTTTTACAAGAGCATAAGTTGATGCCTTGCAATGCTTTGTTGTTTCTCAAATACAATAAGATGGAAACTTTGACATTTTGGTTTTAGGACGCGCCTAGATATATAAGTAGAGTATGATTATTGAGTGACCCCAACGATAAGAGTAAGCTAGGTGAGGGGTTACAACCAAAAGAACAAATATTTAAATGTGTTTAACCCTGCCAACACTTCCTTAGACCTATATGTTTATTGTTTACCAGTTCATCAGGACTCCGTCTAAAGAACAAAACTTAATCTATGATGGTTGTCTGAAGGTGACAAATATTAATGGCTTCATTAGTCAGAATTGCATAAATTTCATCTCGCGATTAGCATCAGGTAAAATATTTTCTTAACACAAAGACTAACTAAAAAATCACCGAAACGAATAGAGATCACTAATATATAGTCATCTTAAGAATTTGCAGAAAATAAGACCAATCTTTGTTAACATGATGGACAGATTAGAATAGCTTTACTTTATCTATGTAATAGCTATATATATTTGTATAATTATGATGTTAATTGCCTCCCATAGATAGGAGTTATCCAGGGATTAATATAACAATATTTTTCAGGAACATTGCAGCTAGGAGTAGCATATCTTTTGTGGTGTAAATAGCAGATTTTTAGGCATGTAAATCCGATAAAATTGAACAGGCAACCTAACAATATATCTAATCAGTATCTCAAGGATCTCCAAGACAATGAACTTGTTCAACTGACCTAGGAGTAGCATATCTTTATTTTGATGTTTTGAGTATTGATAGTTGGAAAAACGATTGAAAATAATAGAGGAGGAAATAAGGATCTAGCAGTATTGTTTGTATAAAAGTAAAAGAGCCAAATAGTTGAAAAATGATAAACAGATCATCATGAAAATTATTCCTTGCATTAAAATTCAAACACCACTCTTTACCATACAGAAAACAAAGGAAAAACAAAGTGAACAATAGTATTATGAACTCCTTTAAACAGAATGTAAAAGATCAAACATCAAAGCTATACTTGACCACCTTCAAAGATTTTTATTCATGCGCCTTTTTTTGTGTCGATCCAACATTCTGAAAAGAAGTCTATCAAGGAGCTCATTGCATCTTTGACTATGCAAAAGCAGCCAGATTATGATGCCAAAGCCAACAGAAGATCCCAAGGAAAAACTTATATATTTCCCTTCAATTTCATGTTCAGAATGGCTGCTAAGTAATTGTGATGATCCATTCACTTTGGTTTCACTGCACGTTTTCTTTAAAGGTAAATCGCACAACCCTGTGTTCCCTTCAAAGGAATTCGCTGAGAACGTCTGAAGTTGGTTACCACTTGGAATCCTACCAGATAGTTGATTAAAAGATAGGTTCAAGAAAGCAAGAAATGTGAGACTCACGAGCTCGTCTGGAATCCTCCCACGTAAATGGTTAACTGAGAAATCTAAGGATTCAAGCTGAGTCAAATTTCCAAGGGCATTTGGTATTCTTCCGGTCAAAGCATTGTGCGAGAAGTTAAGATGGATTAGTGATTTGAGATCTCCCAATGTCTCCGGTATCTCCCCTTGAAAGTTGTTGCAAGAGAAATCAATGGAAGTTAAAACCACAAGAATTTTCACATATTCCACTGTTAAACCTTTGATAGTTAAAGTCACCTTGTCTTGATACAGATTATCAGCACTTAAGTACTGCTCCCATGGGTATGGATTGTTGCCCTGCATCATGCCTTCCCAGCTGGAGAAGTAATGCGGTAGCAGATCACCACTGAAATTATTGTAAGCAAGATCCACAATTTGAAGCCTTGACCAAGTTTGATTAGCAACAGAACACTGGAGATTCCCGTAGAACTTGTTCGACCTTATGACTAGGACATGAAAACTGTATAATTTCTTCAACATGCACGGGAATGTATCTTTGATCTTGTTGTTTCCAATGTTCAAAACTTGCAAAGGTTCACATCTTTGCAAGGAGCTTGGAACTTTTCCTTCTAACATATTCCTACTGAGATCTAAAGTTTCCAAACTGCAATTCAGCGGAAATGTATCAGGAACAATGCCACTTAGATTGTTTCTCCCTATATTCAACACTACGAGACTCATAGCCAGCATTTGGATTAGACAGGGAGGTATTTTTCCGCTTATGGAGTTATTCAACATATCAAGGAATTGAAGCTGATCTAGACTGCATATGGAAGAGGATATTGATCCCGTAAATTCATTATTGGCAATTGAAAAGTAAGTAATACTACTTTTCCAGTTTGCAAAGCGATCTGGTAGAAACGGTGGATTGCCCTTGATCCTGTTGAAACTCAAGTCAATGACAATAGAAGTAGTAGATATATAATAAGGTTTTTCCAGTGACTCAAAGAGATTGTGAGAAAGATTCAGTTTTGCAACTGTCCAAACCCAATTTGGTATTTTCCCTTCAATTTTGTTGTCTGAAAGGTCAAGGGTGGTTAGCCTAGGAAGTCCATTTACCGCTTCGATATTAATGGTCCCACTGAAGGAGTTGGAAGAAAGTGAGAGTTGTGAAAGCCTATTGAGTTTAAAGATAGACCGGGGGATCAATCCATTTAGATGGTTATTGCTCAAATAAAGTGTTTCCAGAACAGAGGAGGATGCATTTGGAAATTCATGGATTTCTCCACTTAAATGACTATTATAAAGATAAAGGTACTGCAATGAGGGGAGGGAAAGGAGAACGGCTAATTGAGTTTGAGCAGAAGAAAGTTGACCGTTGTTATTAGAAATGTCAATGTAATTGAGCTTGTTAGCCTCATGGAACAGCGGGATTGAGCCAGTAAAGTTGTTGTTTGACAAGTCTAATGAAACTAGGTTCGTTAAATTTCCCATTGTTGACGGAATAGGTCCTCTGAAATTGCAATCATATAAGTCTAGTGTAATCAAACTTCGAAGGTTAGCAATTGAATTTGGAAGCAAACCGGTGAAACTCGTCTCCCTAAGACTCAACTCCCTTAATGCATTTTTCTGTGGAAATTCAGGTAAAGTGCCGGTAAGGTTTACGTTGCCTAACAGATCAAGTTGTTGTAGAGTTGGTACCTGAAAGATTTTACTGGGAAATGAACCAAACAAATTGCACCATCTAACACTTAAAGTTGTCAATTTCGTAAAATCTGCCAAAAAATCTGGAACCATAGTGGACAAGTTATTCATATCGAGACGAATAACTGAAAGGAAAGGAAGATTTACCAGGACAGGATCAATTGGGCCTGAAATTTCACAGTATCTCATTGACAAAACTCTCAATTGAGGTAGAGATGAAGATAACGCCGAGCACCACTCACTCCCCTTCAATGAAACATTCACACCATCAAGGTAAAGTTCTCTAAGATTTGCTAGACTTCCAACGAGTGTCCCCAAATCAGGGCTCTCTAGACTTAATAAAGAGTAAGGAAAACCTACAATGTCATTATAAGTAGAAATGTCAAGAACTACTAACTTCGTCAATCTTGACAATTCCACTGGAATCTGCCCTTCGAAACCAGCTTGTGACAAATTCAGGTACGTCAAGTTTAAAAGCTTATAAATATCTGTTGGTATTGGAAGAGAACGTAGGTCGTTATAAGCCAGATTGAGCTTCTCAAGATGTTGAAGATCGAAGAGACTGCTTGAGTTGTCAACTCCGCCAGAAATGGCTTCGTTGTCCAACTCCAGCACAAGCACATGACCTTCTTCGTCACAACTTACACCCGACCACAAGCAGCAATCTATGTTTCTATTCCACCTAACTATTTTCTTTGGTATAGAAGAATCAAATGTAAGTTCATGCTTCAATTTAAGCAATGAGGCCATTTGATCCCTCAAACATTGGCCGTATACTCGAGAATTAGAACTCGTTATCAGAAACACCATCAGGATAGTGATGAAAGAAATTTGTAGGAGTGATATTTTCATAGTGATTAGCAAATTTTGTGAAGTGAACAAATTGATGAATGATTAGTAGAAACGAAATGCAGCTTTAAATAGTTGCATGGCACATGGAAAGTAAGACCAATGTACTTCACATGTTGCTAGTTACAATATGGATTCCAGCGAAACCAATTTAGTCATTAGTAAAGTCGAAGTCAATGAAGATACTTCTTTGAAGAATAAATTATGAATTGGGCAAAATCGAATACAAACCAAATCCCAAATTTTTTTTTTGGAGTTTTGATTTGGATTTGGATTTAACTTCTTTTTTAAAATCAGATTTTGGATTGGACTTCGGATTTTTTTTGGGAAATTTTAGTATCTTAGTTGGTTGATTACCTGAACTTTCACCTGTTCGTGAAGGTTTAATTCCTCACTTTGTAACCCTCTCCCCATTTTCCGAACAAAAAATTTCATATCCAATATGAATTGCCCAAACACCTACAGACAAAGGTGGGAAATTTTTCTGAGTTGTAATAAATAAATTGGAAATGGTGCTTGAAAAACAGTCAGCACGCGCTTGAATCTTTTGTCCTTGAGTTGATCATTGAAATGAATGAATGGAAGTAGTATATGCTTTTGCCTGAACCAATTAGAAATTTAGAATTTGTAAGTATTTTTTTTTTTTTTTGAGTGAATGGGTAAAAAAAAAATTAAATGTTTTCGGTTACGTATATACCTTTAAAATACACTATTAAATAGTGCAGGGATTAAAGGTCCTTTTCAAAGTTCGATATTGTTACAACAATTTCGATCAAAGTTCAGATATATTTAAGACATTTTTTCCAAATTCAAATCAAGTAAACTTGTGTTATAGACTAATTAAACAGGAACAAAGTCCAACCCAGAAGACTAATCTAATAGGTGGAAATTAAAGCGCATTTCAGTCTATATACTCATTAATATTTCTCTTTTTATCAATGTGACAATTGACCCATAACAATTTAACCAACATAATTAAATGTCTTTTCATCGTATTAATATGAAAATAATCGTAATTAATAGTATTTCTTATACAATTTTTAAATATCTAAAATTTTGATTTTGAAAATATTAAACTAATCTATTTGAATCTAACTTTAAATACCAATTAAATTAACTCTTAAATAAATTTTCTTTTCATATTATCAAATTTTTGTTTCAATATCTCAAAGTTACAATTAATTCTAATTTTTCAGCAAAATCCTCTTATGAACACTACAAAAATACTTAAATATGCATTACAATGTTACACTTAATATTTAGAAAAGTTCATTATTTTCTTATATATTCATGACACTACTTATATAGACAGTTAAACCAAACTTTTTGAGGGTCTGAAATATTGGAAACTTGAAACAATTATTTTAATGGTCTTAACCTGACTCATCCATACTTATCACCAAACAAAAAGGTGACAAAGTTTGGTAGAAGAAATCAATTTCAACAAAAACTTTGTTAAATGAAAGAGACAACATTCCCAATATTGACAATTTTATGGACAAATAACACTAGCTGAATACGTGATAAAAACATTGTTAAAATGAAAGAGACAACATTACCAAAATTGAAAATTTTATGAGCATACAACACTAGCATCATACCCTAATATTGATAGGAACTAGAAATTAAAAATGAAAGATAACATGGGAACTTGACAACTTGAGAGCAGTTGTGCGGTGATCTGAAACTTGTTATCGAACATTCAGACGTTTTACTGAGGATTTGGAGGACGACTATTAGCTGCCGAGACTCTAGAACCCCATTCAAGCAGTTCTTTGCTGGTGTCATCCTTGTGAACAATCACTTCAATGAAACACAAACTATCTTTCTTTGCTTCAGTTGCAGTTTCAATTGCTTCCACAAGCTCCTCTTCGCAACGAACCTAGTACAAAAATGCATTATTTTAGTTGAATAACTCTTTTGACTCAACTAATGGTGTAGGGATAGAGAAATTCCTCACCTTTGTTGTCCAACATTTTCCTTGCCCGTTGTGGATTGCATCGACTAGTCCAGTGTAATTCCAGTTCTTGATCACATTGTAAGGTCCGTCGTGAATCTCAACTTCAATTGTGTAACCACCATTGTTTATCAAGAAGATGATAGTCCTCTGACCACATCTCAGCATTGTTGAAATATCCTGAGCAGTCACCTACAACAAGTATTTGCCATACAGAATGATGAGAACGCGTTGGAATGAATAAACACAACGAACTCATTGTGTTGAATTCAGTTCATAACACAAATCATTTTACCTGAAAACTACCATCACCAATGAAAGCAATCACCCTCTTTTCTTTTGCTGCTTGTGCGTAACCAAGCGTTGCCCCAACAGACCAACCAATAGATCCATACTGCATTTGGAACTCGTACCTGAAAGAAAGCCAAAGGATATCAAATGTCATTATGATGAACACGGAAGCAAACGTCATTTCACATTGTTATTCGGAGCTTACCCACATCCCTTGGGCAGTTTAAGTTTCTGGCAATTGAACCATGAATCCCCTGTCTCAGCAATCACAACCGTGTCACCGGACAACATCCTCTGAATGTGCTCAAAGAGAACATTAATCCTCAATGCCTCTTTAGGCTCACACTTAAGAGGATGTCCCTCTGGAACATAAATCCTTCGATAATTCTTGTAAGCAGTCGGGTTGTGCTTTAGCCTCAAGCCCAATGCAGCAAGGAAATCCTTCATTAGAATACAACCAAATGTAGGTCCATTACCAACAGTCACACAATCCGGCTGTACATTGATGGTTTTCTCTCTTTTAAGAAGCAGAGAATACCCAACAGAGCTATAGTCATTAAAAATAGGTCCAGCAAACAAGTAAGCATCAGCTGATTCCACAATTTCAGCACAAAAGGCCGTACTCACTGCACCCCAATAAGTTCCAATGAAATGAGGATGGTGCTCCGGAACCATCCCCTTAGCTGATGGCATCACTGCAACAGCATATCCACTTGCATCCGCTAATTTAACAAACGCATCGCACGCCTTTGCAAAGCGCATTTTTGGCCCTCCCACAATGACTGGTTTCACAGCTTTGTTTAAAAACTCTGCAGCTGCCTCCACTGCTGCTTCCAAACCCATCTTATTACTCAATCTAATACCAAAAAATAAACCATACAAAGTAAATACCTTGTTAACATTAATGGAAAAACAGAACCAACACCAATGAAGATGCTCATATGTCACAACTCATATAGTACCTTTTGTAACATATAAATCAAATCAAATTACGCATAATACATAGATATGCCCTTTAAATTACTTTAAAAATTGAACAAATAAACACATGTGACATGTTTACTACGTGTATTATGACACATAAACACCATAGAGAACACAAAAGACCTAACCCATCGGTGGCCCCTTAAAATTGGCACGAAGTTTCACTTAGACACCTTAATTTTTTTTTCTTCTTCTTCTTTCCAATTTCAGCCTCCATTCCTGCAAACATAAATATCCAACAATGGCGAAGAGAAATAGTTACAGTAAAATGATGAATCTGTGTTAGAAAATTTAGGAATAGACCCATTTCAACATTTAAATATTAAATTATTCAAGAGATTCTTTTTTGAAAGAAATTAATTTTTACATAGGAGTAAATTTATTTTTTTGTGAAGTCTTAACCTGCTAATTAGGGTAAAAAAGAAACAAAAAGATATTTGAAGAAGAAAATAATAAAAAAGGAACAGTGTGTTGGTTGGTGTGAGCCCAAATGTTATTGGAAAAAAGGAATATCGGTATTTGGAGAAGAAAATCAGAGAAAATGGGTGCCCAGATGTTTCTGCAAATGAATAGATATTTGGAGAAGACAATGGTGGGGTGGGGTGGGGAATGGGGGACGGGGTAGAAGTGTTTGGAGAAGATGTCGGGGTGAAATCGGGGTGCTGGGGTCATGGGGGATTTATTGGTTTAAATTTTTATTTTTTTTAAATGATTGGGCAAAAATCCATGTCATTGATTCATTGGTTACTTTTTATTTCTATTCAAAAATAATTATTTAAGAATTGTTTGTGATGCAAATGACACATATCGTCGTTTAATTTATCACTTTACACGTCATTCGCGAGTGTAACACACACCTTATATATTTTTGTTGATTGGTAAAAAAGTGTCAAAATGACACATCAAGACTTTACATGAGGTGTCTAAAATGAACATCTTAACTGTCTAGTTAAGGTGTCTAAGTGAAACTTTGTGCCAATTTTAAGGGGCCACCGATGGTTAGGCCAACACAATGACAAATATGACTATGCTAAGTTGTTTATGTATTATGTCATTAAGTTAACATCTTAACCTTTCTGCGGAATCAAATATTGTCATACAAAAAAGAAAACAGACCATATTATAAGCGATTAAAGCGAAAAAATCTCAAAATTACATACCTTGGAGCGATGAAAAATGGAACAGGTTCACGGTTAAAAGTAGGATGTGGAATCCCCGGCAAGTTACAGCTTATACTTATATAAACCGGCTTACTCTCTTTCAACGAGGTAGCAATCGCAGTATCAATCATTTCATGTGCATCCTCTAAGTTATTCACCACAGCCTGAAAACATGAAAAAGGAATTACTATCAATACAAAACATGTATAGTATCAAATATGTTCAATCCAGACCGAATTCATTCAATACTAAAATCTACCTGATAGCAAGTGACAGTTTGAAAGCAACGTTGTTCTTGAGTAAAATCAGGCAACCCAATAGTATGATGAAGGATTCTGTTAGTTCCATAATCATTTGAATTAGGGCCACCGACAATACAAATCAATGGAAGATTCTCACTGTAAGCACCAGCAATAGCATTAAGAACACTAAGTCCACCAACAGTGAAAGTCACAACACAAGCCCCAACACCATGGGCTCTAGCATATCCATCAGCAGCATATCCAGCATTAAGCTCATTACAACACCCAATAAAATTAAGCCCAGGTTCATCAATTAAGTGATCCAGTAATGTCAGGTTGAAATCACCAGGAACACCGAAAACATCGGTGACCCCGACTTGGACTAAACGGCGTGCTAAGTGACGACCCAGTGTGGATTCCGGCGAGTTGAACGGAACGGCTGGATTGTGAATGGTTACGGCGTTAACCGTCGGTAAACAGCCCACGTCGGTGTGCTGTGGCTTACACGTGTCAATTGCTCCGTTCTTCACGTCCATGATGAATTTGAGTGTTTTTTTTTTCCAGAAAAATGTAAATGATTATATTATGAGTAGTAAGTACTACTTTTGAGTAATTTTTTTGGTTTCATAAGAAGGAAAAAATGTTAAGTAGAAAAACAGGTGGAGGTGGTTTAAGAGAAGAAACAGTGGGGTATATATAGTTGTATACACTTGTGCCCAAAGTGATGCATGGATATCTTCTTGCCATGCCATGCCATGCCATGTATACACTTTGGGCACCAAGTATATCACCCATGTTATTGTTCCTCTTTACTTGTCTATTATACAAAAAAAATAAATATAAAATAATATATATATATATATATATATATATTATTTTATATTTATTTTTTTTGTATAATAGACAAGTAAAGAGGAACAATAACAAATCATGTGCAAAATTTCACATAGTTAAATCTGAAAATGATAAAGTGTACATAAACTATATCTCAATATTATAAAGATAGAGAAATTATTTTTGAAAGATATTCGACTTAAATAACACACGACAAAATAATTTGAATAATTCAAATTATTTTAAACTACCAAAGCTAGTGGGGCCATTTTTAAAAAAAAAATATTAGCTATTAATCCAATTTAAGAATTTGCACATGTTTTTCGTGTTAGGATAATTCCGTAGATATTCGATTGTGTGGTCTGTAACAAATATATTTTTGGAACGACATAAACGATTATTATTTGTTTAACCAATTTTTATTTTTATTTTAGATTTTAATTTTTTTAGATAATTTATAATTATAATTTATAACGGGTTGCTCAGTAAAGTGTATAAGAACAATGTTAAATAGAATATTAATATTATTCGAATTGTTTAGTAATATTGATATTAGTTATGCTAACATTAATTATGTTGAAATTCTTTGGCTTAAGTCATCGATAGCCACTTAAAGTTATCCGCAAATTTCACTTAGACACCTCATCTTAGGCTTGTTCCAATTGAACACCTGCGCTAATAAAAAAATCTACCTATCGAACACTTTATAGACAATCAGCTGAAATAAGAGAGTGTGTGTTATACACTCGCGAATGACGTGGCATAGTAACTAATCAAACGAAGACACGTGGTATTGGGCCTAGAATAACTAATAAAAAATAAATTATAAAGAAAAATTATATTTTTTAGAAAGAAAAAAAAAAAGAAAACCATCCTTGCCTTTTTCCTCTTTCGTCAGAACCTTCCCCCAAAACACCATACGCTGCCATTCTTTAATCTTACTCTTATCCTCAAACATCAATTTAGATTTATTGATATTCTTTCTTCTTCTTGTGTTGTGAGTTTTTTAGAGTTTGAATACATCAACAATTTCAAAGAATAATTTAAAATTCATATTATTCTTGCTGGAAAAAATGGAGTTTCGCCGGAAATAATGAACACTAAAGTAAGAAGACGATCGATCATTGATTGCTCGTTATTTTAATTTTTTTTGTGTCTTTATGTAATGACATTTGCTTAACATCCCATGTCAACGGAAAGGAATCTCCACTTCATCTTCTTCCCTTTTTTTGTATTTCTTTTGTTTTAAGATTTATATCTAATTTATGTTTGGGTTTGATTTGACAAAATAGATGAACAAGGGATAAATACGTTTGGTGGCAGCAGCGATGACATTTTTTCCGACGAAAAACTTAAGGTGGCAGATTTGAATGTGTGGTTTGGTTGTTTGAAAGGCTAAGGCCGTTTGACGATGGTAGACTTGTGGATGGTAACAACCGATTTGGTGGAAAAAATAATTGTGAGTGGTGATGGCTACAAATTGCAATGGAAAAATGGTGATAGGAGCTTTCTGTCAAAGAAGAAGATATAAAATCTTTTCTTTTTTTGCTAACAAATTATCCTTTTCACGCTCCTCTCTGTGTGTATTACACACACTTTGCCATGTCAGCAAAAAGGGTTTAATAGGTACAAATTTCTTACTGTGTAGGTGTTCAATAGGTAGAAGTTTTAGTTGAGGTGTTCAAGGGAAATACGAGGACAACTTTAAGTGGCTATCAATGACTTAAACCAAATTCTTTTGTATGCATCCTTTGGTTTGGTGTACTAAAAATGGCATGCATTGTATAATTTTTTTTTAAAAAAAACATTATTTTCTAGGGATCAATGAAATTCTCATGATTAAGCGAGTTTCAATTACTCTCTCTGTCTCATTTAGTTGATTGTTTTCCTTTTTTACATGCATATTAAAAATCATAAATGAGAAGATAATTTTACTGATTCACTCCTTAAAAAACTTCTTGGAAATTTTACAAACAAATGTGAACACTTTAAAAAAGAATTAATTGCAAGGGTAATATACTTCCTCCGTTCCTTTTTAGTTGTCATACTGCGCATTTCGGGGGTCAATTTGACTAATTTTCAAATCTAAATTGAATTACATTTATTCGATATCTTAAAATAAACTTATAGATATTCAAAAACTATACGGAAAGTACTATAAGTTGCAACATTTTTCATGTCAATATGATGAAAAAAAATATCTTAAAATGTTGGTCAAAATTCATATCGTTTGATTCTCAAGAAGGAAACTATGACAACAAAAAGGAGTACAGAGAGTAGAAAAATTTAATTAATGTTTTCTTGATTTAGTAAGATAGACAACTAATATAAAACAATAAGATGATCAACTAATATGGAACCGAAAAAGTATATCTTAATTTTTTAGTAAGCACATAGTAGGTGGAAAAGTGTCATTAAAAAATCATTTCCTCAATCATTTTCCCAATATATTTTGGAAAAGTGTCATTAAGAAATCATTTCCTCAATCATTTTTCCAATAATATATTTTATTTAATTATAAATAGAAAGCATTGTAGACCTATCAACTTGTGTCCTCAAACCTTCTAATATTGTCTTTCTTTCCCTCTTAACATTTTTGTCACATAAATAGAATCACTTTCTAGGATTTTGACTCATGTATATCCTGTTGTTGGTAGATTTCATGAAAATAAATCTTCAATTATTTGTCAAGATCAAGGTGTTACATTAATTAAAGCCAAGGTAAATCGTCGTATGGACGATGAATTTCTACAACAAGCACACGACAACTTGGATTTCGTCATGGAATTTTGGCCACGTAACATAAAGGATGTGAACGTGATTAATTTATTCATGACACCAATCATGTTTGACGTTTGTACAAATCACGATTTTCCAATGTCAATAATGAATTAAACAAGTAATCTAATAGTAACAAATAATAAACTACAAAATGAATTAAATTTGCATTAAAAGTGTATTACACAATATTAAAGTTGAATTAGAAGAGAAAATTAACAATGACAAATGTAACTAACGAAAGACAAGACAATAATCTATAGACTGAATTAAACATGTATTATTCATGAATAAAATATGTATTATATGTGTCTTATAAATTATTTTGGTTTGTATCTCTAAGAACATGATTGATGTTTGCAATATGTATTGTGTCTATATTATAAATGTATTACAAGTTTGTTATTTAAATTATTTTGGTTGATATCACTAAAAAAGGAGTGAAGTTTTTAATATTTGTAATATGTATTATAAATGTATTGCTCATGATTTGAATACAATTGTGAAACATATCTAATACAACTTTAATACAACTGCGATATAGTTCCATAAACTTCACCTTTTTCGAGTTTCCATCTAGTATTTCTCCTAAAATCAATTATAAACTTAAGCAAACCCTCTTAAAATTGAGATATAAACTCCAAACGACATTTTCAATTATTTGTAGGAACTACCTATCCAAACTATTCACAAATTCGTAAAATTCAAATAATGAATTTCAAAATTTGAAGCTTTATAATGACCATCAATGGTGAACTCTTGCTTTTGTAATTTTAGAGATTTGAAATTTCTGCTTAAAACGTGATTTTGTACAAATTTTCGATCTTTCTGTTCCTCTTTTCATCTTGTTTTTAGGTAATGTTGACACCCAATTTTGTACCTCCACAATATAAATTAATCATTTCGAGCTTCTTCAATTCCAAACGATTTGAAATAATTAACTTTATAAAATTCAAGATATTTTTCAAGTCATTTTAAGTTATCTTGTCATTTAATTTTTTTTTTATGTATTCTATATAAATTTGTATGTATTTATTACATTTTAGGAGTATTCGAAAATCATCTCGAAAGATTTTTTTTTTTTTTAGTTAAATACTTTAATTGAATTAGTTTAGTTTAAATTATGGTTTTAACTTTGAGTTATTTAGTTTATATTTGAGTTAATTATTTTACTTCGTTAAGAATAAGAAGCTCGTTAATTAATTAATATTAATTCATTCACAATCTCTAAAGCTATTTCCTAAATTTAATCTAACTCACCTCACCATAAACTCATTTAATAACCATTTTGGGCCATTTCTTAATACAAAAAATCGGCCCAATTCCCTTTATAACCCAGGCCCAACAATTCTCCAATGACCAACAGCCCACCATTCCAATAATTCCATACATTACATTCAACAATAATACATACAGAAACAACGTGACCCCACCTTCCCAACTTCATCTTCTCTACGGCAAAGCAACCAGTACTGTTCCAGCAGTGCGATTCAGGCAACCAGGCACGCGGAATCGTCCTCGCCAGCACGAGATAAGGCCACGTTGTACCCAAGGACGTTGGAATCGATCCAAGGCGTCCATCTCCCCTTTCCTCTTCCGAAAAGGGGTAAATTTCTCAGAAAAATTTGTCTCTTCGGAATTGTGAAAGATTTCTTTTGAAGTTTGAAATTCAAATGGACCCTTGAATCGGAATTCTATCCGTTTCCCCCCATTTTTGGGACCCTAATTTCGCCTTTAAATTAAATACCCTCATCTCCATTCAAAACAGGGGATTTTTGGATTTTATTTTTTCGAACGAAATAGAAGTTAAGTTTTCTTGGTAGAGAATAACCTTTAGGAATAAGTAGCAATACACTCCTGAATAGAGATTTGCTAGGACTTCTGCCCAGTTTCCGTGACTACCGTTCGTGTTCGAGTCTCTCTTGGTGAAAGTCGTCACTCCTCTGCTCGTCTCGCCCCTGTTTGCTGCCGCGCGAAAGGTAAAATCCTTTTCAGTTTCAACTTTTTTTTTAGTTCGATGTGTTGTTTTTTGACAAGCTGAAGTTGTTTGTCGATTTATTTTCTCCTCGACTGCCCTTATTCTTTTGGATTCGCTGCTCATGTGGGAGCCAAGCTCTTGAGTTGTAGTTGGGTTTTTGATTGTTTGAGATATAAGAGATGCTCTCGTAAGTGTTGCTATTCGTATGAGTCTTAGAATTTCTCTTTGAGTTAGCTATCATGTTAAAGGGTCCGTTTCGTTCAAATGAAACCTTTACCATAGATGTGATGCCGCTACTTTGTCTCGTGTCTAGCTTTCCGTTCACTTTAATTTATGATGTTGTGCCTTAAATTCCTTCGTGGAAATATCTCAGTTTAAATAAAATCTCGCTGCTTAGATATTAAAAAACGGTCCTCTCATGTTTTCTGGTCTAAGGCATCTTTTAGGAGTATCACTTTTTCCTCAACTTAGTTGGGTTTATTGATGCAGTGTCACCTCTTTGAATACTTTGTTTACTTACATTACTCTACTTGTATTCAACATGTTAGGATAAGTGGAATTGCTATTATGTTTGGTTTCAAGACATCACCGATTTCTCCTCCCTTTGCTTTAAAATAGATTATATTTGCTACTGTCTCTTACATTCTGTCCTCTTAGCATGATAATTTGGCACCATCAGAATATACTTAGGGAGTTAGTTTGGCTTATTATGTGAGATATATATTATTTTTTTATTTTTTTTTAAAAGTGATATGATATACTTTCTTTTCTCATCATTTTTTTTTGGTTTGCTACTGTTTAGTTTTGGCTGTTGGTCACATTTTCACATAGTGTAATTTTTCCCTGTTTTCTTCTCCTGTGAGTGACCCCTAATTTTATTTGTTGAGACATACATTCTTGTTATTGCTAGGAGTTGAGATTTAGCTTGTTTAGTTTTGTCATTTGTTAAGTTAACATGCTTTTGTTTTCCTTAAAGATTCCTCGGATATTTTAGTCTACTAGTTGAGTTCGGTTGCATCTTGGTTTTGAGTCTCTTTAATAGCTTTTATTTCAAGTTGTGTTTCATTTGTTCTAGCTAATCCTAATGCTAATTCGTGCCTTTTGCTTTGTTGTACGAACTCTCTCCGAGTCTATGATGGGTTTCTTTCCTTTGCATTTCCGAATCGAGCCATAAAGGCTCGAACACCTTTTCATCACCAAGTTAGCCACTTCATCGAGTGTACATGGCAGCATGTGAAATGCATGGAGCTGGAAACTGAATTTTCAGCCCCCAAAAAAAGGCCCAAAAGAGGGCAGTATACATGACCTATACAGCTGTATACACAAGTATACACGGAAAAAACAGCGATATACAGGTCCAAAAATTGAAACAGGTGTTCTGGAAGTTGAATTAGGTTGTATACATTTGGTATACAGCCTTATATACAAAAATAATGGGCTGGATTCATACGATATACACTGGTATACAACCAGTGTATACAAAAACGGGAATTGAGCCTAAACCCAAAATCAGCAGCGAATTTGGCCCAAGAAGGGCCCAAATTCAATTTCTCCCTACGCTTTAATTATTTAATTATGATTATATATTTTTTATCGTGTGTTGACTCTAACTTTTAAATTGTTAACTAACCTAATTAAATTCCCCAAACGATAAGCTATTTTCTTTACATTGGCTTACTTTTAATACATTCTTTTATTTGTTTTTGTATTCATTTTATCTTACTAATCAAATATATTGGCCATATTTTATTTTGGTTAAATCTTTTGTTCTTATAAAAGATATGTTTTGAATGCCCCTTCCTTTAATCGTTTTGCTTATTTAAATGGTTTTAAGTTAACACTTTTCTCAAATGAACCGAAATAAAAATAAAAAATGAAATAAAATTGTGTGTGTTCTCTTTTTATCAATTGATTTTAAATGGTCTCATGCTTTAATTGGTTCAAATTATTATTTAAAAAAAATAAATTGAATTAAATAAATTTTAACTAATCTAGTTTTATTAAAATTCTAATCACTTGTATCACAAGCCAAATGTGTCATTTGGATTCTTTTCTCTAAAAAGAAAATGTGTCGTTTATCTAATTATTTTCTCAAAAT